TAGGAAGGTAGTATAAGACTCTAATAGAATATAGAAAGTGGTATAAGACTCTAATAGAAACATACTAGATGATACAAAAATATAGAATATAGACAAGTATAAATATATAGAGAATAAAGATAAAGAGTAAGTGTGGTAGGATATGAACATAATAACATATCTAGTATAAGTAGTATACATAAAATAGATAAGTAGAGGAAAAGTATAAAGGATATAGTTATAGTAGTTATAGAATAAAACATATAGAAAAGATATAAAGTATAAAGTATAAGGTATAAGATATAAGATATAAGGTATAAAGTATAAGGTATAAAGTATAAGTTATAAGAGTATAGTATAGTATAGTATAGGTGGAAGTATAGTAGGAATATACTATTAAAAGATGCAAGAGGTGGGGTTTGAACCCACGCCTCCGAAGAGATCCGTACCTGAAACGGACGCCTTGGACCACTCGGCCACTCTTGCTATTACCTTGAAGGAAATAGAAAGTAGAAAAACAAGAATAGTAATAAACATGATAGAATAGTAATAAACATGATAGAATAGTAAGGTGAATAGTCATATAGAATAATAAATAGATAGAATAGGAAGTAGTTTTGTCATATAGAATAATAAATAGATAGAATAGTAAGGTGAATAGTCATATAGAATAAACATATAAAAAGAATAAAAATAAATAATATATGATAGAAATGGGGTAGATATATAGAATAGGAAGTATAAAAATTAGAAGGATGTATAAGTATATAATATATAATATAGAATAGTCATAAAAATAGACTAAGTGTAAGAATAAAAATTATAGATATAGAGATTGATATAAATATAAATATAAATATAAATATATATATATATATATATAACACATAAAATTTAAGATATAAATATATGATAGTGTAAGATAATGATATAAAAGTACGACAATGGCAGGATTTGAACCTACGCCTCCATAGGAGAAGTGATTTCGAGTCACACGCCTTAGACCACTCGGCCACATTGTCATTAACCTTTAAATATAGAAAGGAAAGTGGTATAAAAGTCTAATAGATTATAGAAAGTGGTATAAAAATCTAATAGATTATAGAAAGTAGTATATAAGTCTAATAGATTATAGAAAGTAGTATAAGAAAGTAAGAAAATATAGGAAGGTAGTATAAGACTCTAATAGAATATAGAAAGTGGTATAAGACTCTAATAGAAACATACTAGATGATACAAAAATATAGAATATAGACAAGTATAAATATATAGAGAATAAAGATAAAGAGTAAGTGTGGTAGGATATGAACATAATAACATATCTAGTATAAGTAGTATACATAAAATAGATAAGTAGAGGAAAAGTATAAAGGATATAGTTATAGTAGTTATAGAATAAAACATATAGAAAAGATATAAAGTATAAAGTATAAGGTATAAGATATAAGATATAAGGTATAAAGTATAAGGTATAAAGTATAAGTTATAAGAGTATAGTATAGTATAGTATAGGTGGAAGTATAGTAGGAATATACTATTAAAAGATGCAAGAGGTGGGGTTTGAACCCACGCCTCCGAAGAGATCCGTACCTGAAACGGACGCCTTGGACCACTCGGCCACTCTTGCTATTACCTTGAAGGAAATAGAAAGTAGAAAAACAAGAATAGTAATAAACATGATAGAATAGTAATAAACATGATAGAATAGTAAGGTGAATAGTCATATAGAATAATAAATAGATAGAATAGGAAGTAGTTTTGTCATATAGAATAATAAATAGATAGAATAGTAAGGTGAATAGTCATATAGAATAAACATATAAAAAGAATAAAAATAAATAATATATGATAGAAATGGGTAGATATATAGAATAGGAAGTATAAAAATTAGAAGGATGTATAAGTATATAATATATAATATAGAATAGTCATAAAAATAGACTAAGTGTAAGAATAAAAATTATAGATATAGAGATTGATATAAATATAAATATAAATATAAATATATATATATATATATATAACACATAAAATTTAAGATATAAATATATGATAGTGTAAGATAATGATATAAAAGTACGACAATGGCAGGATTTGAACCTACGCCTCCATAGGAGAAGTGATTTCGAGTCACACGCCTTAGACCACTCGGCCACATTGTCATTAACCTTTAAATATAGAAAGGAAAGTGGTATAAAAGTCTAATAGATTATAGAAAGTGGTATAAAAATCTAATAGATTATAGAAAGTAGTATATAAGTCTAATAGATATAGAA